TACTAAGTCCTACCTAATAAAGGCGGAGAAAGGTAGAGTGAGGAATTCATGAAAACAATATGCCACTAAGAGGCAGACACTGCAGTTGAGGAACTTGGGTTTGGGATGTTGGGTTTTTTTGTTTGTTTGGTTGGTTTTTCTCCTTCAAATGTTTGACCACAGAACTGTACTTTCAAAATCAGGCTATAGAACATTTTGGCCAAAAGGCAGAGCCAGATGCTTGCGTACGAACACGCAGAGAACAATTTACAAATCTTAGAAGCGAAGCCAAGCACCTAAGCCCTCGTTAACTCTTCTTTGATATAAACTGAAAGGTCCCCATTTGCTGCCTTTTAGTAAATCCAAGGTAGGGCTATTAAATGGTAAAGCATGTCTGTTCCTCTAGTGTGCACAGCCCTCCCACCATTCAAATGTAGCTATACAAGCAACTAATTCAACACAACTGAGGTGACAAACTTCCTGGGCGGGCAGGATGGGAATAGGTGGGGAACCTCTGCAAGCAGATCAGCCAATGAACAAAAACTTGCTTCATATGCAACAGATTTGCTTTAGTTTTTTTTCCTATCCTCAGGGCTTGTTCCTGTCTCTTGCCAGAGATTTCCATCCCCCAGTTTTGCTGGATGCCAGATCACTTAATACAGTAATCTTTTAATTAAGAAAGTAGAAACCTCTGGTTTCAGGTGGTATGCTGGGAGGAATGCACGGGGACACAGATAGACAATAACTTGCCTCTCAAAAATCAAGTGCTTACGTTTTACTCACACTGTATAACCTAATCAAAGAGAAAAATATAAATTGAAAGTGAAATATATATGAAGGTGAAAGCCTTAAGTCACCCTCAGTAAGAACTTGGGACTGGACACACAAATGACTTTGTTCTGATGAAAAATGACATAAGCTATCTCCAATCGTGGGATCCATCTTATTGACTGAACTGTGTTACGTGTGAGCCAGAAGTATGGAGTCTCCGTCAGCGAACACTCAAAGAGGTCTGCAGATCAAATCAACAGACCAAACAGACCTGAAAGCTAGGGCTTGTTGCAGTCAGGCATAGAAAAGGAAGGAGATATGCCATCCAGCATGCTGAACATTGCCTTGAGCACAGTACCCTGCTGTAACCTCACTACTTGGAACTGGTGCATCTGAGATGCATAATCCCCCAATACAAGTGTAATCTTAAAAGTGACAGGCTTTGTGTTATAAAAGTTACTTTGTAACAAGTTACAGTCAGTTATAGCATTTCATACTTACTTGTAATTATCATCTTCTACAAACTTTTGTAGTTCTTCTATGTACTGAACCGAGTTTAGATATTTTTGGACATGAGGCAACAGAGGAATATCTGGAGAACAGATGACAATCATTATCACTGTACCATTCACTGGTAAGCAAAGTTATTTTCCAGAAACTACTTAAAGAGAATCAGATCTCTTGCCTTTTTTTGTAGGATGGAGGTACAAACTACAGTCCCTACTAATGCTGAAATTTTTGTCCTTCATAGCAATTCTCATGTGTTGAGCTGACATTCCCCACATCCATAAAGCCACGTATGTATCCCCCTAGAGCTGCTCTGCTTATCAGAGCACGCGTAAGGGAAAAATGAGAGCGCACCCCTGGCCAAACTGAAGGCCCAAACCTGGAACCTGGAGGGTTGTATCTGAGGACTCCTTCACAGCCCACATTCTCATTATATTGAGCTTTCAGTGAAGCCACAATCCTGTGCTAATTCATATTACATCAGCACAAACACAGCCTTATGACTAAGAGAATTGTGAAGGAGACCACCTTTGAAGAAAAAATACATTATCTGATCTATGAACAGAACTATAAATGTCCAAAAGACAAGCTGAACGTATTTTATCATCTCCAGTAAAAGTACTACTCCAAAAGCAATCCTATTATTTTTAGAGTTTGTAATCATAAAATTATGAAACACAGGGATACAAGTTTATAACGTACTAGTAAAACTACTGTTAAATACAATGTATTCCATATTTTTCATCAGAAAATATGTACGGCAAAAATGTGTGTGCTGTAAGAAAAGGGCAATTTTATTCTGTCTCCTCACGCTGATGCTCTGTCATAACCAACAATACCAGAATAAACCAGACTTTTGGGCTGAGAGGGTGAAGGAGAGTGCTAATGGCATTCAAACACATTAGGCTTCACTTACATTGCATTACAGAAGACAAATATTAAAGCTTTTAAAGTTGTTCTCTTTAATACTGCAGTATTTACACACTAGCTTACCATATTCACAAGACTGCTGTAGATCTGAGATAATTCGAAGAATGTTGTTCATTAAATTTGTTCTTTGCTCGCTTTCCAGAATGCTCCCTGTTGATGGGTAGGCAGAGTCAATATACGTCAAGTCTGACAGATAAATACCTGAATAAGATGAGAATGAAAAGTTTCTTTATTCACTGTCTCACATGTAGCAGAAAAACTCACAAAACAATATTTTGAAGAATTTTGGTTTCCATTGACTAACACACATGCAGTCTTGACAACAGCATTACCCCAGTAGAGTATTTTGGATTTTCCTGAGAAATCATTTTGACAAGATCTCCAAGAGCCTTCCTTCAGACCTCAAACAGTAATAATGCTTCCACTTACAGAAAAGTACATCACGATGCCACCCTTGTCTGGGATTGAATTTGCGCTCTCCTCCATCACTTAATCCTTAGTTTTGTTAACTTTATCTCAGCTGTATTTGCAGATGCTGAGAGTATGAGTACAGCTACGTTTCTGTGTGCAAGGTTTCATTCTCTGTATGATGAATCGTAGTGGGAGGCAGAGAGGATCCTTTCCTCCTGCATCGCACTAGGCATGTACTAACTGACTTTGTCTTTAACAGTGCCATTATTTCTAAATCTGAAAGTAATTGCAAGGACATACACAACTACTCATGAATCTCATCATCTGCCATATCACCAATTAATTATTCCCTTTGACAAATATGAAGCATACTAAACACATGATCAAAATTCCCAATGATTTTAGGAAGTCTACTACTTCATTCCTCTAATTCAGTAATTAAAAAAATAATAGAAAGAAAAGTCATATTATCTATAACTCTTCAAGATGAATAGAAACTCAAACTCGACTTGCAGCAACATAGGAAAAGTTGACTAGGCAAAAAGTACACTCTGATTATAATGTGGTATGAATCCCGCAGTTGACATTAATTGCAACTCCAAAGATCCAACAACCTTATCTATAAGTCTCTTCAAGTCTTCTACCTGCTTTCTTCCCCACCACCACTGTAATCTTACTACACTTTCAACCCCTTGATCTTGTAGAGGAAAATTCTCCTCCTCACATACTAATGCTGTAGATAAATCCCTTATTTTAATTCTACATGCAATTCTATTTCTTGAACTTCACCCAAAGGCTAATCATTTTTGTCTCAACTAAATGAAACATATCCTGACCAACCCTGCCATTAAAAGGAATTGCGCTTCATCCCCTGCATCTTCCACAAGATATTCAAATTATAAAATAGGCAAACTTAAAAATATTGTTTAAGAAACTTATTTCAGTAACAGGGAATTCCTAAAATTATATTTTGCTTCACCTCTCAGCCTTGTATAAACAAAATCATAACAAGAAGTTTGACTTTACAGGTGGAAGACTATTAATACAACCTCACAAGAACAGCAGTTGTGTTTATACAGCACCTAACCAGTACAGTCCTCAAATGTGAGTTGGGAAACTCTGGGCATCACTCCAAAATCAACACATACACGCGTGTGTGTGCACACACACAGAAACAAATTAAAATACTTGTGGTTGAAAGGTGACATATAAAAAAGTGAATAAAAAGGTATTACACATGACCTGATATACTACTAAATTTCTCAGTTTTCTATTCTGCTAAAATCAGTTTATTAAAAAATAGAAAGGATAATCAGAAACAGCAGATAACCACATTTAATTGCTATGCTATCAAGACTGCATAAGCTGTCCCAAAACTAACTTTGTTAAGCAATGTCCAAACAGGCCATAAAACCCCCAAACCTGCTCAGTCTTCCACAGAAAGAAGTAAATCATGCTTACTAATTATAATTAAGGAAATTCACTATGAACAGTCACCTGCAATACTATGCAGGATTTTATAAACCAATCTATTTGTAGGATTATTTTTCTGAATGACAGGCCTAACTAAGCACTGATTATTTCTTTTTTCAGCTAAATCAAGAACTCTTCTGTCGACAGCTGTTCTCTAAACTTATTCAATGCATTTCTATGAAGTCTACAATAATTTTGAAAGCATACTAGGGTAATTCTCTTTCAAATGTAATTGGCACATGCTTTGTGAAGAAACTGAATGCACTTAAGTGCTGGCTGACTATTGACAGAACTAAAAACAGTATTCTGCATTCCTCACAGAGCATAATCTCTGTGGCTTTTGCTGCTTTTAACACCAGTCAGATATTATCAAATATTCTGATACCTACCCAAAACCATCACACACACAGTTTTAACATTTTCCACATGTATCTGAGACTTCGTGCATTTAACAACTAGAACTGTTTCTTATTAAGTGAACATCAAGAATTGAATGCGACATTCTGTTGAACATTCTTCTAGACTATAAATGGTTCATTTTTCCTGTTGTATCCAGCCAGGCTGCCCCTTTTATTCCCAGCAACACACATCGAGTTTTATCAGCCTGAAAGAATCTTTCTTCTAAATGAAGCCCAGTACTGTAATAACTTGAAAGGCATCTTTAGTCAGCGTAGTAAAAATGTTTGATTTGTAATTGCCTGCTGAACTCTTGCACAGTCTGTTGCCATATGGTACCCTCCCTTCTACTGGCAAACAATCTTTCCTTGTTCCTAACTTCTCAGCCTCCCTACCCCCTCCTTTTCTGGAGGGTATGGATAGGAAATCCGAAGGAGGAGTTTCTTCTGCTCTCAGTGTGTTCGCGGTGACATCATAGGTGGGCTGAACGTCTAAGTCGAGTGTGTGTTTAAAAAAACCTGTCCAAAAGTGATGTATATGGAATCTGGGTCAGCTGTAGCTAGTTAGTGCACTTCTGCATGTGAGCATAAAACACTGCAGTTTCAAAAAACATTTCTTTCTCTCTTCTGGAATAATACATACTGGAACATTACTTTTTCTTCTTTTTCAATGATTAATTAGCTTGGTTATCGTATGGAGAAACCCAATTCCTCAAAACAGCTTGGATCTAACAGAGAAAGACAAAAGCAGTTTTCAACTCCAACTGCAGATTAACAATCCACGGCATCGGGTAATATAGGAAGAAAAAGCAACTTGGCCTCTGGATTTTCCATCTACCACAGAAGCAAAACAGCTGCAAGATTTTTTTTTCTTGGTAAGTTTTAAAGTTATTCTTACTTGCAAGCTTAATTTTGAGCTATCTGTGAATTCTACAGACATCTCCCTCAACATACAATTGTGAAGAAACAAATCTCTCTCAGCCTGAGAAAAATTTGACAACTAAAATATAAAACTCACTTTTGTGGCATTTGGTAGACTTTGGAAACTTGGGAAGAATTAAAGAGTGCTCTGCATAAGAGCAGAGAATAACTCATTCCAGTTGTAAGGATGAACAAGTTTCAGTTGTTTAGCTGTAAATTTTCTGTAGATTCTGTTATCTATCTGTTACAGAAAATTAATACTACCAGATTCTTTGCTATGCATGTAATTTGGGTATTGTGAACATATTAATGTGAAATTCTGATCATACTAGAAAGCAAAAGCCAGAAATCCTATCAATTTCAGGGAAGTTGGATTTCACCCAACACCAGAGCATAGACCTAGCCTTACTAGGATGAGAAAATGGATACCTCAATAAAACCACTGTAAAAAGTCCCAAGTAAATCAATGCACATCTGTGAGTAGCAATCATTGTATATTGTTTCAACTAAATTTTTATTTATGGTACTTTTGAGCAGTAGAAGTAGTCCAAGTTGTACAACCAACCAAGAAACCCGAGTCATGCGTTGATTCATAATATAATCAAGTTTGTAGCACAAACAATTATGCAGCTGAAAATCCAAAGACATTCCTGAAACAGGCACTAATCTCTTCCTTTAGTAATTTGTTTAATGATGGGGAAGTTAATTGTACCTCAATTGAACAGCAGTTTATTTCTAAATAAAGATTCATTTCAAAAACATGAAATGCAACACTGTATTAAGTGGAAAATAGAGGGTTTTGTTACAGTTCTTTGCAGGGAGGGAGGGGGAAGGATGCAGTTCCAAGTCAAGGATTAAAACAAGAAAGATGTTTACAAACAGAAGACGAAAGTACTGACAAAAACCAAGAAAGAGTTGCTAATATATAATCTTCTACTTTTTGCCTTTCTCCATGCTGACTTGGAAATTAAAATATGGTGAATAATCCAGAACAATGGAAAAGAATTTAAGTTACGTATTTGTGTTAGCAAACTCTCAGAAATGTCTGACACATTAATGAGAGAATGAAGAGGGTGATGCTAAAAGAAGAGACCAAGTGTTACAGAAAGCAAACTTAATTAAGATTTAGTAGCTATGGGAAGAAAAAAAGTCTGAAGCAGTCTTGACAAACAAGAAAGATGGATCCTTTCCAAGTTCTTGAGCCCTTTTTCTTACTATCCTTTTGTGCTTCTTTACATATTAAAGAGAACACTCTAAACAACAAAAAAAACCCCATTTGAAGTCTACATTGTGTGCTTTGGACACCGGTCTCCATTCATTCATGATCAGCCAACATTTTGATTTATGCTGCTTAGAACAATTCCTAAATCTTTCACAAATGAAAACAGCTGAGTCAATAATTTTAAAGCAATAAACTGGCTATGTGCAAGGTTTTAACTCTCTCTCCTTTGCTGTCTTCCAACTTCAGAGTTCAAATTTTGAAATGTTTACTTTAAATAACGGAATACTAATATTATGCTGTTGCCACAAGAATGGTCTGAAGTATGACGGAAAAACATGCCATTTAAAGTTTTACAGGGATTTATTTTGAAGAATGGAAATTCTGAACCTTTAAACTTTTGCCAGCAACTACATGGCTTTATCAGGTCTTAATTATTGTTTTACTGGGCTTAGTTTGTTTTTTGTAATGTGCCCTCTTAGTCTGGTCCTTAAAATTCATATACCAATGAATGAAGCAAAATTTCCCATAGCAAACATCACTAGATGCTTAATCTCTTCAGTATCTGTTTTACAGAGAATTCTGGAGCCCCTAAACAACACTTCCAAATGCAAAATGCACCCTCCATTGTACCTGCCTGTTAAAATGGTGCAAACACACACACAATGGCTGCAAAAAAACGTAAAGGAACCCTCACAAAAAAAAACTTCACCAAAAAATCTGGAAGTGTTATGATATTTTTGCTGTGTTTTCAGGGTATCTAGTATGACAAGATTGACAAGTCTCTTCTACAGAGAATTTCTAAGAATCTATAATTTCTAAAAGTGACACATTTTCAATGACTACTTTGAAAACCCCTGAAGATTTTTAGATTGCCTTTCCTAAAAGGAATCAGATTCCCACTAATCTCAGAGAAGCTGATTTCTGTGACTCTATACATCATGTATCTGACTAACAAAAACCAAGAATGTATTATTCCTGGATCCCAGTCAATACAATTGAAAGTAATCCTGTTATTTCATCAGAGTGACTTGCTGGAAAAGCACTTGTTGATATAGGGGAAAGTAACTTACTGAACTACACAGATATGTCAAAAATCCATGTGAACATTTCTCCTATAATAAGAGTGTCTTCCCCACATCAGTATTACTGCTAATGTTACGGACACAGTTTTAAGCTTAAAAAAAAAATTTTAAAAATCAACAAAAATATCTACTTATTCTGTGTAGAGATAAGGGAACATAGATGGTTTTCTTGATTTTAGCTGCTTAGACAAAGCTTAACAGAAAATGCAGTATGTATAGCATCAATAACAGAGCTTTCAGACTAACTGGTATCATGTTCAGAGGATCTTTATTCTCAGTATTATCATTGGCTTTCTCAAAAAAACCCTGTCTCTTTCTCTTCCCATTTTACACGTTCATAAATGGAGGTTTATAAGAGAGGGCACCATTGATATTTATCATTTGACCATATTCTTTTAATAAATATTCTGAATAAAGATATGTACTGATACTGCACTTTCCATACAAAGGGAATCCTATACTCCCATTTACCTGCAACATTTCCATTACATTCAGTCGTAACAACCTACACTGCCCAGGGAGAAGCAGTCTTCGTCAGCTCTGAAAGAACAGATTCTAATTTGTGTTGTGGGTCTCTGAATTCTACATCGTGCTGAACGTGAGAGTCACAGCAGTACAACAAAGAACAAATAGTTTGTTGTGTAGAAAGGTAAAAAATGCTAAATACAGGCTAGCTTCCTCACTTCTTCATCCCTGCAACTCTAATATTTCCACGTCATACAATGTTTTGGGGGGTAACACATCCCACATTATAGTAGCTTGTCAGTGAAAGTTAAACGTAGTAGTTAATAGTTTATTTTGCTTTTTTAAGTTGGAATTTTGTTCCTTTGAACCCTTAAAAGTAATAAATTGACTAATTTTGGAAAAAAAAGTTGTTGTTTTTTTAAATCGGGATCAGCCTGGAAAAAGAAAGCAAGCAGAAGAAAAGGAATGGCATTAAATGTAAAATGGTATTGAAGCCCTATCCACAGCTCTGAGTATTTCTGACAAGACGATGAAGTTTGTGTTGCTATGAATAGATGCACATTTTCTCCTCCAGAAGCAATAAAACATCAGCATGCCAGAACATACGTAATACAACTTCTACAGAAATCTGAGACCCAAAACTGGGTGACACAGAAACATGACACAAGCAAGTGAAGTGACAGTCTATTCTAATTTAAAAAAAACATGACTTCATAAAGAGTTAAATAACATATTTTAAAGCAATAGTATCTGTAATCTCAATCTCTCACACTTCATTTCCAAGGTCTGCATTCAGGTATTTCAGCAGCCCCACTCACTACAAGCAACTCTAGACTTGCAGGAAGGGTTTGAGACCGTGGTTCTGTCTAAACTGATCCCTGAGCCTCATCTGCTTTATCTCATAACAGCTATGACACTACCTAAACATCTAAACCTGGGAACTTGTGACATGATATGTCCGATTAAAAAAATAAAACTATTTCCCAACTCTAATATTTGTCATTTTTAGGTCTTACATATTAGGCTATCATTCTGTGATACTTTGGATAAACAGTTTATATTTTTTTAAGCTGCTTGCCCAGAACATCAGGAAATTTCTGAAACAGTATTTTAATTTCCTTCTAAGCTGATTAAAACTCCAGGTAAATATCTTACTCAGAACCTATTATTGTATAACAAGTTAGGCATTAAGCTGCTCAAACATGTCAAGCAACATTGTAAGACATTTAATTTTTTCAATATCAAAATTTCCATGGAGGCATATATGTTCCCTACCAGGTAGATTCTCAGAAGGAACTCATCTCTGCTTATCTGAATGTCTCAGTTTAATACAAGACATTTGAATTATTTCAAAGTTCTAGGGAATAATCTTATGCAGCTGTTGCATTTGGTTATGCTATATTAGACCATTTTGTGGCCTGATAGCACTTATGTAGACACAGAACTTCTAACTTTACCACGTAAGTGTAAAAGTTCAAAATGAACACATATAATATTAAAAGAAAAGCAGAAAGCAGACTGCATCAGAATACATGTTCAGGAAGTGGGCTGCAGTGCAAAATGTTTCGTTTTGAAAGATTCATTTAAGTTTTAATGTATTTCAGGGGAAAAATGTGCTGCTGTGGGGAAAACCCCCAGCCATTCAGTATTTAAGTAACTGTATAGGGTCTTTAAAAACTACCAAGAACTAAAGTGTTATTCACCTTTTTGGACTATGAAGTAGCTATTATATACTGTGAAAATAGTAAAATACTGGACTTGTACTATGGCTTCATCCTTAACCATATGCCATGAAGTCACTTGCCCTGCATCTGCAAACACTAAACATAAATGTATTCAAAAATAATTCAAGAGATGTGAAGAGGTTTCTAACTTCAGCCAATTAGTTCAGCTCATCCTTGTCAAGTTAGAAACCACACACAGACCTGTTTCCCATGTGTTTACCATGATCCATGTGAAAATTTAACCTAATGAACTTCTAACTTTGAGCACTGTTCAAGTGATTAACATTTCAAATGTCTGAAATTACCAAAGAAAAATACACAATTAGCTCTGGAGAAAAGTAATACTTTTTCCTACTTTTTTTTTTGTTGTTAAACAGAAATTACACTTTCAGCAGGAAAATATTAACAAAACTTTTAATCAAGTTCTGTTTTTGAAAAAAAGCATTTACTAGCAGACACCAAAATACTTATTACTACATCCTAACAGTAAAACACACAGAAATAAGTTTTTAAACACAAGCTTTCTCAAACTTTTATGTATTCCCTCCATTTACGTAGGGTAAGAAATGATTTTCAGTATGTGTTAAAAGCAAGTGTTTTCTTCCCCTCCCAGAAGTAGGGCTTGCAATACAACTGTCAGCCAAAGAAAAAGTTCTTTTCAGGCAACAGTGGAACATTTGATCGAGATTCCTAGATATAATTCCTGATTGCATGTACAGTATGGTTTGAAATTTGCAACCACTGCTCTTAGTGAAAACAAAAAATAAAGACTTGATACGTTCACTCTGAGATTGCGCAGACATCATTTGTGGCAATAATATTAAAGCCAGTAACAGAACTGGGAGAAGTGACCTGACACAAAAGTCACCTTATCATTTGTAAACGTGAATGTAAAGGAAGCAGCACAAGTCTGTGTCCCCTTCAGGGTGACTGTTTCAGGATTGCTAAATGCACTTAAAACTTGAACTTGACAGGAACAGCATGAAAATTAACTATCTCTGGTTTTACTTCATTTCTTTTCGTTATCTATGCAAAGGCCACTGTACAAGGCCTTGTACAACCGTTAACAGTAGCATGTTTCGGAAAGCCAGATCAACAGCTGAGATAAGAAGAGTGATCTGCTTGACAAAGCAAAACAAAACATGAAACATTAGGATTTTTTCCTGATTTAAGTGCTGCCTTTGTTTATCATCTTGAATACATAAAAAATAAAGTTAAAAAACAGGTCTTGCTAAGAACATTCTTGGGTCTTTATCATTGCATTTTAATTCTTTACATGAAGATAAAAGAAATACTTTATTTTCTTTAAAAGGTGAATGGAACACTTCAGTATGGTATTTATAGCGATAACACCTGATGCTTCAGTGTTATTTGGATAAAAGTGTTCTCAAATATAAAAAAAAATAGTGTGACAACAATTTTAAATGTTTATGTCAAAAGGCGACTAAGTAGAGACACACATGCAGAGCTAACAGCATTATAGGCTTTCCTTACAAATTTAAAGTTACTTGAATATGTGATTTTCTATGTTTAAGACAACTATCTTACACTGATCTCCTAACACTAATGTCCAAAAATAGTGTTAGATATGTGTTTATTTTTCAAGTCTAATATATATGTGAATGTATTAAATTTGAAAAATGTGTATATATATTAATAGGTATGTATATAGAATTTACCAGATTATACATATATATATCATATATAAAGCTAAAAGAGGACCAGAAAGGCTTATATAATCCAAATTCCAAAATCTATATAAATATTTTTGAAAATACTATCACTGTCTCCCTACCTCCCCTTCCATGAAGATATTATGCAAGCACTCTGTACGTTCTATAACCTTGTGGGTTCAGTTGCAGTAAGTACACATCTGAGCAGTCAATTTTATAATGAAAGCATAATACATCATCTAAGGAGAACATTGTTTCTGAAAATGTATCCATTGCAACAACTTCTCTACTAAAACTAAATTTTAGGGTTTGCTGCTCAAAATAGAAAGCTATTTTTTGAAGCTAATCTAATGGAATCTAACTCCGAGTAACATATTCCAAAGACTTGTCTACCTACACGTAAGCACAGCAAACCCATCAGTTTAGGCTATTTAAGCAGTACAGGAGCCTTAGCTATGGCTCTAATTTAATTATTTTATCTTTTATCTGTTCAATAGTCTCTTCTGACAGCCATCATATTTGCTTTAAAATGAAGATATTTAAATGGACTTTGGGTGTACTATTGTTCCTGCTGTTGTCTATTGGGCGCTGTACAGAACAATCTACACCTAATAAAACATCCCAACGGAGGCACCCTCGTTCAGCAGACAATGGAGACGAAGGCAAGAAATGTGGTTACACATTCTTGGTCCCAGAACAAAAAATCACAGGGCCAATTTGTGTGAATACTAATGGACCAGGTACTGGTAACAGAAAAGATGAAGTCACAAGAATGGACATAGAGAACTTGAAAGACGTGCTTTCCAAGCAAAAGCGGGAGATTGACATTTTGCAATTGGTAGTGGATGTGGATGGAAACATTGTCAATGAAGTAAAATTACTGAGGAAAGAAAGTCGTAACATGAACTCTCGGGTCACCCAACTCTACATGCAACTCTTGCATGAGATAATTCGAAAGCGTGATAACTCACTTGAGCTTTCCCAACTGGAAAACAAAGTCCTTAATGTTACAACAGAAATGTTGAAGATGGCAACAAAATACAAGGAGCTTGAAGTAAAATACGCAGCACTAACTGATCTTGTAAATAATCAGTCTGTGACTATCTCACTGCTGGAAGAGCAGTGTTTGAGAATCTTCTCACGACAGGACACCCATGGGTCTCCACCTCTTGTTCAAGTTGTGCCACAGCACATTCCTAACAGCCAGCCATACACTCCCGTTCTTCTGGGCGGTAACGAGATACAGCGAGACCCAGGTTATCCTAGAGACAGAGATGTAAGGCCACCACCCGATCCAGCTACTTCTCCTACAAAGAGTCCTTTCAGAGTACCACCACTGGCTTTAATTAATGAAGGTGAGTTAACTATCACTGTTTATCTAACCTGAGATTTCTCTATTTCAGAGGGAAACTGTTCTGGCTATAGACACATAATGAAGAATTTAAAGTATCTGGTACAGCTAGCCCTTGCTCCCGATTCTGAACTTCTCCATCTCCATCCCCACCCCCACCCCTACCCCCCCAAGGAAAGCTTTAGTTTACTAAATAGTCTAATTCTTAAGCTATAGCTGCATAAGAGAATTTGTTGAAATAGCTGATACTCAGAAATTCAATCTGAAGAATTTACGCCTTTGAGTCACAAAGTATTGGGGTTTTTGACTTATGGGAATGAAAAAATCATTATTAGCATATACTTTCTAGTATTTAGCCCTGTTTCCTTGAAGATGCCTACTAGCTGCATGTTACAGCAACTAGCAATGGTGAATAAGAGAAGCTAATTAATCTTAAATAAATGAAGTAATTTTAAGTAGTTGTCCTTTACACTTAGACATACACATTTGCCAGAAGTTAATGCTGCTAGAAGAATTTTACTACTCCTATTCTGAGCTGCTTTAAAATGAACATCTAAATCCACCAACACAGTCATGCAATAAGTCTCTAAGTGTTTGGTTGAAATATTCAAGAGAGTAAGACAAGTTTGAAAGGATAATTGAATCAAGGCTGGATCCAATTAGATGCAGGCAGCTTTGAAAATTTAAAATAAGTAACTGCATTCCCAGTAATTTGATGTCAGTAGAGGATGGCAAGTTAAACTAATACCATAAATATTATGAAAATACATTCAAGAGACTGCATCACATCTTCATGTGTTTGATTCTTCAGGTCATTAGATAAGTTCATTTATCACTTGAAACAAAACCAGTGACAAGAAAATTATCTACTTCTGAGCTGCCCTGAATTCTATCACGATTCTCACTTTATTAAAATTTTGATAGAACTGCGATTAAAAAAAAAAATTAAGGATTCAGAAAAAGTTTCTCAGGCATCCATTCAAACACTTGTTCTTGTCTTCTGTTAGCTTGCACAGCAAAAGGGTTTGCTTGGGGGCTTTTCTGTGTGTTTGGGTTGAGTTTTTTTGGGTTTTTTTTTGCTTTCAAATTTCTTTTAGTCACAGTTGGAAGTTCAACTTGGTTCCTCAGATGAAGACAAACATTTATTTGTGACTGTTCTACAGCATTACAAACAACTAGCTGCTGATGTAAAGAGTAACTATTTTTATTCAGGGTCTGGAGAAAATTCTAGCACAAGTCCAAGTAAAATGCCAGATGTCATGAGAATTTTAAATCACACTTCATGACACAAAGGAAACAGCTAATATAAAAAGCATTACATTAATGTCTGGTCAGACAGCAAAAGTATAATTCTAAAAAACATTGACTTCCTGTTTCCCAGAAGACCCATGCTTCGAGGCTTTTGTTATAAATGCATCTTTTTCTCTCGCTGCTGTACATACAACAGGAAGCAATAAACATTTTCCCCTAAATTATCTGCCATGGTTTTCACTAGCCCCTTTACCCCTAAAAGTTCAGAGTTTGAATGCATTTTTGCAAGGGAACACAAAGAAATCTTGGGAAATTTATTTTAACATTATTCAACTTCCTTTATTTAATACTAGATTCTTGAGTTTGAAGTTTAAGTGTTTCTTGCAGTGCCTTGGGAAAATGAGGGTTAAGAATTGCTACAGCTGGTAGAGCATCAGTCATCAGAAACAAAACTTTTAAATTGCAACATAATGCCCAGTTATTTTCTCTGATTTTTTTTAATTTTCCTCTACTATTGTCCAAAAAATCCTCTATATGAAGCTCACACAAGCACAGCTTCTACATCATCTGCTCAAGATAACATCTTAAAATAGGATTCAGCCATAATTTTATTAAGCTTCCAACTTAAAAATATTTCATCAATTTCCTCCTCTACTACATCTCATTTACAACAGAATATGATCTGTACTAAATCATACATCTAACCACAATTTTAGAAGTGAGATATTTAACAGATCATCTTCTCTGAGTATTTCTGGCTTACAACTCTCAGCAACTTAGTGTATGCAGATTGTTACAAAAGACTAGATGTGCACAAAATACTTATTCCTTACATAGATAACAAGATCTTAAACAGAGTAATTATGCTTTTTTCATTAGCCAGAGCCTCCACTCATACCAGCACTGTAGAGAATCTTACACCATTTCACAAATCTCAGCATTTTCACTGAACAAGAAATGGATTAGTTCTTATGCAGTGAACTTAAAATAATTACATGTAAAAAAGAATTTACTTCTCAAAAAAGATTCAAGGCTATACACCAGAAGTTATGGGATTTGTTGGATTTCCTTACACTAAAAGCAGAAGTCTGTTACCTGTGCTACAACATTAACTTATGATAAGCACATAAACAAACTGGAGCATCAAAAAGCAGACAAGTTACATGCTGTGACCCTAATGTCAGCTGAATTTCAGAAGCGATCAAAGTGTATTATACAAACAGACCGGTACAATTCTGGCTGCCTTAAAAGCTACTTTAAATCACTCCAAACATCTGCTTGGGTCTCTCATGGCAAAATGAGTCCTCCATTCCTCCTCCAGTAGAAATCACATGAATAATACACAGCAGATCTAATTGAGCTATTCTTAATATTCAGTTCACATTACAAAATATACTACTTGTCTGTTTACACTTTTTCTAATGCAATAATTGCTTTACAATAATGCTTCTAGAACAACCTCCCTGTTCAGTTAAACAGCACCCAAATTTACTTCAGATAGTTCAAGGAAAAGGAATGAGACCCAACTTAGCCCAGGAAATTATCTATCCACTGGACAGACTGCATCATGTACAATCTACATGGAAATTTTAATTGTGAACAAGAGAAAAAGCACTCATACACCAAAGCAACAGTACTTCTTTCCTAAGCTACTACTGCATGCACTGCAAGAATGACAAAAACATTGTCAAATACTGACAGTACAGTATGCAGTTGTACTTACAACAATGGCTCAATGTCTGTAACCATTCTTGGTAGCACCGTCACAGTCAGAAGCTCCAAGTAGTCACCTTTATTAGATACACAAGCTTTTTACATTCTAATTAATATGAAATCCTTCATGTATTTCTTGCTAATTAGACACTTATCCAACTGGCAACTATTACTATAAAACCTAAAAAAGTGCAACTTTCAATTTGCTTTTGTCGCACAACCTTAATCTGCAATGAAGATCACTTTCACTCGACCTCTGCTTTTGATTAAAGAATAACCTCAACTGTCTTCTACGCTTCTTTGCACATTAGCTTCTTCTGTGACTGATGAGCTTTCTCTGAAATTCCAAGTACATTCAAGAAAATGAGCCCTCTAAAATGAGAGGAAAGCTGTAGGTAATTTATTGTCAGATTTACTGAGTATGAGTTTTCAAATACATTTAGGACATCCACCACTAACTAGCCATCAGAACATATCCTGCTTTTCATTAGTGAATAACCAGCCTCTCTAGATCAACTGAAATAATGATACATGAACATAAATCCTTTATAGAAAAGCAGAAAATAAAATTACTACCAAAAACTGAAAGGCAAACTAGGCAGAGTTTTCAGAGATATGTAAGCTGCATGCTTCTTACAGAATAACCAGATGCTCTTCTGTAAGTAGTATTTGTAAAAACCACTACTCATGTGGTCTAAAATAGAGCTTTCAAGCAGCACCATCAACAGCAACAGGATTTTTGTAGAGTCCCAGCCCTGAGAACAATTATGTAAGCCCTTTTAGCTGCTCAAAAGTCCTTCTCCACTGCTTGCTTATTTTCTTCATCAGTATCCATCTACACATACCACATCAGGCTGACACATAAAACTTAAAAAGATTCCTATCCACTGTTAAAAGGCTGATCCCAGAACTGGATAAGTATATACAGGCAAAAAAGTTATGCAGTGTAAGAATACTCTTTCACTAAATTCCATGTCTGTAGACTTTGGCAATAAATATTTCTTACAGCAGCTCTCAAACTATTTATGTATTGAGGTGTGGGGGGGTTGTTTGGGTATCTTGGGTTTGTTTTGAACTTCCATCAGTTTCAAATGGGCCCACTAGGACAATGAAGTAAATTAACTATTTTCCCCTCTACCACTTTTACAAGAGGTAGATGTCAATGAAAATCATAATGCACTTCTTGAATATCAACAGTCAAGAGTATAAACCTTTGACACTGTAGACAAAGTTAAAAATTGGGTGTTGGTAACCAAAGTCTATTATCTGTTTAGCAAAATGAAGGTTTTGTTTAAAAAATATATATATGATATTGACATATTTATTTACATATACACAATTAATCTAAGACAGTAACTTTTTACACTGTTTTCCATGGTAGTTTTACCTCAGTTGAATTACTGACTTTCCATTACAAACTATTTTTGAACAATGCGCACTGCACAGCCAAGCTTGAATGCTTACAGTATTTCTTTTCAAAAAGGTCCATTCAAAGACTGTCAACAAGCCAAGGAAGCTGGGCATTCCAACAGCGGGATTTATATGATCAAACCTGAAAACAGTAATGAGCCAATGCAACTGTGGTGTGAGAACAGCCTGGACCCTGGAGGATGGGCAGTTATTCAGAAGAGGACAGATGGATCTGTCAACTTTTTCAGGAACTGGGACAGTTACAAGGTAAACTCTGTAATGCAGGAAACCAGCTGCTTCATTTCAGTGTGGCAATGACGTTATCTATCGCGATCAAGATGGTGCAAACATTTCTAGTGCAAGTCTTCATTGCAAATAGAATGATAAACACTGAGGAGTTGGAAATAGATAGCTGCTTGAGTTAGTAAAATTAATTTTATGAACAAAGATAATTGAAAAGAGTGGTCATCCCTCAGAGGCAAACATATTTCAGTGGGAACACCCTATTTCGCTCAGTGCATTACTCCACTTTGTATGAACTAACTTATTGTCTGAAATAGCCTGCATTTGTAATGCACAACACAACTACTGGGGAGACACATATTATTCTAGACAGTGACTGGGAAGTCTTTTATTACAAAGACCTAACTAAACACATGATTTTTATTAACACACTGAGAACTATAGTAAATACTTGAAAAGCTTAATTGTCTCCCTTATGAATAAGCAATCTCAGCCAGTGGAATTACTCATTTAAGCACATTAATAGATTTGCAGGATCAGGGCCTCAACTTAAAAACATTCCTAATAATGAATTAAAGGAAATAATTTCTACCTTTAAAATTAGGTTAGAAATCTAAGGATGTAGGGCTGGTGAAGGGACACACTTTCTTGTGTGTTATTGTGACATTATGCAGTGGCAGCCATAATGCCTAGGATGACAAACACATGCTGCTTTGGAATAATTACATGCTAGATAGCAAATTTGAAAATCCATCTGGTTGGGGTTTTACAAATGATATTAATAATAATAATGTGTGGACTTCATACATATAGGACACAGTTTTCTCCTATGATGCTGTGCTCACTTTAAACGGATCTACAATTGCCACGTGCATTGTATCTGAAGAGACAACTGAGCCACATTTAACTGAACCAGTAATCTAAAAAGTAGTATCTCATATATAAATGGAAATGACAAAAAATTACTATGAAGATTTTCACTTTTTGCATTCTTGGAATTTAATGATTTAAATGTTGATCATTCCTTAGTAGCAGTTATTTTAAGTCTTCTCAGAAAAGTAGGTGGTTGGATTTTGGGTGGTTGTTTTTTTTAACGTTACAAGGCAGTTACGGAGTGCCTTATAAAGTAACCATATATATTTTGAACATAATGCAAAGAAAATGTAGAACAGTGTATAACTGGTGTGTAACAATGGCTCAAAGCTTGGACAAATTTGCCCCCAAGAGATCTCTCATTAAAACTGCAGTGGCTGAAGATGGTATTCCTATTAACCTAACTTAAGTACTTGAAGGTAGACCCCTGTGACTGGCTTTAAACTAAAGCCTGCACCACTGACAAAAGCCATGTCTCCCATGCCCACATTTCTACATCTTTCCCAACACCTCAGTGTAGCTCCAAAGCTACAATGTTGATGCAAGGGAAGTATTGCAAATGTGGCCATGAGCCAGGAGAAAAGCACTGCTACCATTTTTGGCAGCGGTATGCTGCTAGATCAACTTAAGCCACTTGTGAAACTGCAGCTTGAGTTAGGAGCCTAGACTGTTTATCTACTGGAGAGTGACATCCCCAGAAAGTGATTTGAAGCAGGAAGTCAACTATAGGTCCTACATAATCAACGGCCAGAGAAGGGGAGTAGGAATACCTGAGAAACTAGGAAGTGTAACAGATAGCTGGGTGACGTACCTACCTTAGCTGCAACACCAAACATTAACAACACTGGTTTACTCAGGGACAGGAGACAGCAGATATGAAATATCACTTCACATCTACCGTACTGGTAGTCTGTGATTTGAAAGGAAAGAAGTCTTTGTATTTCATTTCCAATAAATCTAGTAAAGAGCACAGATGAATTATGTGATTAAACTTAACTGTAAAAAGAAAACACTAGTTGCATTTAAAAGGCAACAAAAAAGTTATTTACCTTGAACACTGAGACTGTTGATCTATAAATACCATTTCCAACCTGGAAATATACCCCCTTAAATTTCATTATTCACACATTCTTACAGATCCCCTTAGCTTTGTCAAGAAATATTGTTTCAGTTTCCCTATTCTATCTCTTTATCTTAAAAAGAAGAGGACATCGCAGAAAACAGATAGTTTTGTCACCTTTACTGATTCTGTTAGTACCTCCTGTGGCTACCAGTCCAACTGAGTAAATGGCCAAGTGCAGCAAAATAAAACATTTAAATGCATGGGTTGAGCAGGCATTCAGAAGCTTAAAGGCTTTCAGCAGCCAACTTACACTGGTTTATAATACTCCTGCCAATGAGCTTTTTGACAAACAAGAAAAACTAAGCTAACATCACCTTCTGATCTTCTGTACAGAAAGGTTTTGGAAACATTGATGGAGAGTACTGGCTGGGACTAGAAAATATTTACCTGCTTACCAATCAGGATAATTACAGACTATTGATTGAATTAGAGGACTGGAGCAATAAGAAAGTCTACGCAGAATACAGCAGTTTCCGCCTGGAGCCTGAAAACGAATTCTACAGGCTACGCTTAGGAACATACCAAGGAAACGCAGGTGATTCCATGATATGGCATAATGGAAAGCAATTTACAACACTGGACAGAGACAGGGATATGTATTCAGGTAAGGAAACTAGTATGTATGCGAAAAGTGAATACAGTAGATTCCATTAGTGATACCACCTTTAAAAAAGAATACAGTATAAAAAAAAGTATCTAAATTCTCATAAAACAACTCAATCGAAAGATGCTTCAAATCAATTATGATCAAAATCATGTTGACAGGATCCCCCTTCAAGCCCCTGCACCATTCAGAAATTCAAATTCTCATTGCAGGCACACTTTAGCAAGCTTTATATTTAGCTCAATGACATCCTTATCACTTGCATGTGACTCTCTACAATCAGAACACCTGTCCAGGTGATCTCTCAGAGTAGCACTGTGGCCACATAACAATAGTCACCATGAATTAAAGCCTCTGAATAGCATGAAAGGAACTGCAATTGTGTACAGGCTTAGTTATGTACCAATACTTGAGAAACAGGCAGATCACGTTGTTTCATTCTCCTTAAAGGACGCTTTTTTGTTCACTTCCATGCTCTTCCTCCAGCCTTCCCCTTAAAGCCTTAGCAGTAGAAGAAAGATTGGGGAGTGTAATACTTCAGCTGCTTTTTCTCAGCTGTCAATAACCATAAAGCTGGACAAATCTTGAAAACTCTTAAACAAGCCTGTAACAGTAAATACACAAGTTACAAGCAACTCTTTGTGGAACTGTGGCCCTGCGCGCTGCTTGGGACTGTATCAACTCACATTGCTTCCATTGAAGTATTTCTAAACAGTACATAATCCAAGTTCCTTGAATGTTAGCTCACGGGTAAGCTCTGCTGGTAGTCCGAGATGAGTTGATGACCTTAGGTTTCAGCTGTCACATTAAATACTGTGTCAATAATCCCCGCTCCAGGCAATGGTTGCTGTTGTAACAGAACTTATAATTTAGGTAGAAGCAGCAGTTGCTATGACCACAACAAGCTATAAAGTACTTCACAGTTCCCTCTAAGAGCAAGCCAGAATGTGAAAGTGTTTGCTAATCTCTATTTCTCCTCTTTAACGTTGAAGTTCACCCATTTCTTTCTGTTCCACAGGAAACTGTGCTCATTTTCACAAAGGCGGCTGGTGGTACAATGCGTGCGCCCACTCCAACCTTAATGGGGTATGGTACAGAGGAGGCCACTACAGGAGCAAGTATCAGGATGGAATATTTTGGGCTGAGTACCGCGGAGGTTCCTACTCCTTGAAAGCAGTTCAAATGATGATCAGACCTATAGACTGAGGAGGAAAATCCCACAGCGCTCAAGTGATCACATATAAATAAACTTCTCAGCGCTTGAGTTCCAGAAAAATAAAATATTACTTTTTAATCATTATTTTGCACAATCTGCCCCTGCAAAAAGCAGGTCTACAGTTTTCCTGTCTTTTTTTCCCCTGTTGTGTTCCCCTCGGTTGTTTTTTTTTTTAGAAACCTTTTCTACTGTGACAGACAGTGTTTTTTAAACACACATTCACAAAAGCAGATGTTTGTGCTTGCAAAGCATATTTATCTTTGTTCAAGCCCAACATACTTTATGTAAACAGTCATTAAAGCTGGTAAAAAAATCCAGATATATGACGAGATATAAGCTTTTTCACTTAAAAAGCTTATGCTTTTTCAGGTTAGCTCAATCCTTAAATGTAAATATGTGAAATGACGTTGTCTTGCTTTAATGTGAAATTGATTAGTTATTTAACAATTTATTTAAAAATGTTGGTATTACTTTCAATGAAAACCTGACTTCACATTACTGTTTAAGATTTACTCCAAGAAGCTACAAAAAAAAAAATTGAAGCCTTTCTAGCTTTGCCAGCAGAGAGAGATTTTTGCAACAAATAATTATTTCAAAATGAAGTGGTGAATTAAACGTAAAATATAAAATTTCTTAGTGGTGTAGAGAATTCCTTAAGGTCTGCATATCCTACCTTTTGTAAAACACTTAGGCAAAATGTTCCTAACATGAGAAAAATAATTGTATGAAATTGTTATACTTAGGACAACCAAATTGCTTGGTACTTCTTTTACTTTCAACCTCCGCATTCAAACATCCTAATTAAACAAAAATATTTCTTGATACTTCAAACTTCAACAGCAAAATGAAAATATTAAAATCATGACTTGACACTTGGGAGTCCCCTCCTCTGCTCCAATTAGGAGTGATGAGGTCTGAACAAGTGTTCACATATACTAATTTAGAGAAGAACCAACTCTGAATATTAGAAGTTTTCCTCCAACACAGCTTTCTCCTGACATAGTAAAACAAAGATTAGAAATCAGCTCCGAGTCTATTCTCCCTGCCACCCCAAACTTGGACTACTCTTATGACAGACACATTTCCTTTCCCCTACACGTATACAACTTTTGATACTGTCTATATTAAGTTTTCTACCTTCTACATAACAGATTTCCACTGGAATTAGTATGTCATTTAAGAAATTAATTAGGAAATACTTTTTCAACCTTTAACAAAAGCCATACAACATACTGCATCAAAACAAGATACTTCCAAAACTGGAAACAACAAAATGGTCACTTTAGGTGCCAGTCTTCGAAACTAAAGCTCTCCTCCTAGTATATACAATTATTTCATAATTATACTTGGCCATACAGCTTACCTAATTTAATTTGATTTTACACAAAACCAAAATATGCTGTTCAGAACTGTGACCGATGTGTGTGTTTGGCACCTTGTATGTGCCTTCAGGATTTTAAGGAACTTTGTCCCTATTTAACATAAGAAACCCCAATAGCTAAAAACATAATATTATTGTTATGTTAAATCAGTCTGTATCAATTGCTATGCAAAACCTCATCTGTAATTCAGAGGACAGAAAATAGCATTCTGCTTTCAAAACATGTTCTCTGGAGTAGATAAAGCTTCATTGATAATATATGGCTGCAAGGGTTGTAGTTAAATCTTTGGTGAGAGATCAAAGCCAACAAGTTTCAACCATATTTAATTGGGGTTGGCGGGGGTGGGTAGGTAGATGGGGAATCAGTCCCGGCATATTCCATTCCCACATTCCAAGAATTTTAACTGACATATGTTTAAGATTACAGTTCTGACATTGTTCTTCATATAAGGAATATTTGTTTGTTACAAATATTGTACAGACCTCATTGATTGAGTGTCCTATAAAATGCTTTTTAATTGCAAATGCTTAAAACTCAGACTATCTATAGTCTATTCTTTTTTTTTTTCTATTGTAGCTGGATGGAATAGCAGTTGAGGTAAATTTAAAAGCTGAAAATGCACCCTCAAAATGTTCCTTTAATGAACACTTCTGACGACTTTAGGTCATTCAACTGACAGATTTCCTCTCCTTGGAAGAGATCTTATTTTATGACAAGAATCTCTTGCCTGCTACGAAAACAGTGTTTGTTTATTCAGTGCAGTCAGTGAAAGGTGTACTTTGCAGAAACCCCTAAGTAAAATTAGCTTGCACTCAGCCTTTAAATTAAATCTTATATATTGGACATCTAAAAAGTGATTCTTCCCCAGTTTAAAGCTGCAGGATGACATTAACTAAACATTATTACAAAATATACCCAGAAAGCTCAGACTGTACAAATGCTGTTCTCTGAAAGGAAAGACTTAATTTTAAGATGCCAATTTAAGATTACGAGCAGAGAAAGTATAGCGTCTCTTTTTCAGGTTGGTTCATACTCTGTACAATAATTTACTACTTTCAAATGCTTGTAACTATCAGTTCTTAGCTTTTGGGTTGAATTTTCTAAGCAGGGTAAATGAATTAACAAGTTCAATGTTTTCTCTCACACTCATTTCAGAAAATTTTTTCAAAAGAGGCTATAGTATCCCTCAAGCTTATTGCACTGGACATTCAGAAGCAGTCTATGAAGGCTATAGCTTTCACCATTCCTGTACTACCAGTCCAAATTTAACCAAGCAGACCTTGAAAAAGTTTAACCTGTACTAAACCTGAAACACAGTTTTCACATATATTTCCAAAGTCTACTGCAAGCATTATCACTGAAGTAGCTGAATATTCATCAGATGAATACTTCAATAACCTGTTTTCAGCTTTTCTGTTTCTGGATATAATTCCTGAAAGACAGCTATAAGAAAATATTTCACAAGGTAGTACTGCTTAGTTAAATAAAAATCTTACTTCTCAAGATATGGCTCAATTGTTTCATTGTGCAATCTAAAATTAATCAGAACTCCATGATAAGACTCCCTTTGAGAATGGGTTTTTATTCTAAGGTGAAATATAACACATATACAGCTCCCATTTGTTTTGGCTGCTTTAGTTGGCCAGGTGATGCAACACTGGCCCCCATTGTGTAATGAGGACCTAAGGCTAAACATTTTTATTGGTGTTGCACGACTCTTAACACTCACATTTAAGTTATTGAGTCCACACTGATGATGTGCTGCTCTCACTTGCATTTCTAGAGCTCTGGAATCACATCACACTTATTGCTGCAAGGAACTGAAAAATATTTTTATCCACCCACCCCCCTCGTTAAATGTGGAAAGACATCTTTATCTTGTCCACAGTGAGCGAGCTGTGGTAATAAGAAAACAGTCTGTACTTCTGTGGCTCCATTCCCATTGCAAAGACTACACAAAAACACATTCAAGCATTATCTTCTAATGCTAAGACGGTCATGAAAAAAAACTCCACACCAACATTCAATATTTGGTTGCAGAAGGGTAAACCCAGCAACCTCTGAAGGGTAAAACAATTCACCCTTGAAATTGCAGCTGAAATTCCTTTATACACTCACTTTCCCTATGACCTTCCAAACAGGGTCCTTCACAACCAGTACCAATATTTCTCCAGAGGGGATTTGCAATGGCAAATGTAACTGTGTGGCAGGCTTGATTCTCTGGAATCTTCTAAAGAGCATTTTAGACGAGCATGGCAACTGCAGGATCTCTACACCAACAGTGGAGAAAGCCTCACTCCATCCCTTCTTTTACCATGAGAGGAAATGGACCTTATGATTAATCCCCCTCTCCAGCACGTGCCATGATCACAGTTTCAAACTGCAGACTTTTAGGCAGACTTTTCTACACATTTTAAACCAGGAGCAGCACTACTCCCATATATGATTTTATACCAGAAGTAGCAGCAGAAAAAGATCCTTTCAGGAATTATAACCTATAGCTGGTAAGCTTAAAACAGTAAGTAAAACAAGCAACTTAAGTTACTTCTGTTCCATATGACTCTTACATTAGTAAAAATGCCTTGGGAAGGAAATTTTAGAAATAACACTCCTGCAAATCTACTCAGGTCTTACTGGAGATTAAAGCTTTGATGAAATGAGAAAAACTGGACTCAAGAGCCAATCTTCCAAGACGGATCCAGATTTATCATGACTGTAGTTTCAAGGCAATTTTGTTCTTTTTGCCACTTATTTAAACCTTACAAAATTAATTTTAGAGCAAATGCACCACTGGGCATTTGCTATTCCTTTGGAGAATTAAAAAAGGCTTGAGGACATTCTTCATGTCATTAGTAAGAATTGATATCATATGAAACCAGGTCACAACACATTCTTTAACTACAGCAGGTCACAGCAAAGAGCATTTCTAAGTAGAAGAGAGGTATACATTTCACTTCAACAAACTATCAAATCAAGCCCAAAGCTTATTCTAATGCAAAAGTTAGACAAGAAGTTGCCAATGTATCAAGGAAAACATCTGTAACTGAACAAAACTTAAAGCATTTTTTACCAACATTTCACTTTTTTTTTTAATATACACTTGCACATAGCAAGGCTGTATTTTTAAAGTGTCAGAAAAATACACCATATCATAAAGATTTCTCTGTACAGCAGTTAAGTATCAGAAGACCATAATAGCAAGGGTTAGAGTACCTTGAGATTTTAAAGTATCTGACAGCATGCTAGCTTGGGACTTTTATAATCGGCAAGAAAACAATTTGAGCCTGGCTTCATGTTTCAAAAATCATGGTATATAGGTAAAAAGCATCTGGAAAGCTAGAAACAGCATTTCAGAACCATATACAGTAAGTATATATTATACATGTACACATTATGAGAAAGCTACAAAATTACGTGTTTAATCACATGACGTTTGGCTTTTTTGCCCCTTTTAATTCAGACCTAGTTTTAACAGCTATGTCAACAAACAAGGTAGCATGTGATAGTATGCCACACCAGCAATTTTCACACCTGCACTTCAGACAAAATACACTCATGCAGATTCTTCCATTCTAGGCACAATTACCAACATCTGAACACTTGAAAACACAGGAAACCAACAGCTATTAAGATCATGTTGGAACAGATGATGTTTCTGGGAGGGATGTAACAGGGAAGCAAAAAATGAAGACAGAATGAGGAACTCCATAGGACTATTTGTCATTAAAATTATTATTGGTTCTCCATAGCATAGTATTTTCTGTTCAAGTATAAAGCACGTAAAATTCAATTTTGCAAAACCTGAATATGTGCATTTTAGAAGCATCATTCTAGATTCTA